TCCTCCTATACTGGGGCTACATTTTTTGATTGTAAAAATATTTGATGGCCTTTTGATGAATGTCTTCCACAGTGAATAAGAAAACTTAGTGGCTTAATTTAAGAACATGTTAACAAGACACTATGTTTTTGAAATTGTAACAAAAATCTCCATAAGTGATTTACAGGTACAAAGAATAAAAATAAAGGTAACTTTACCTTTCATAAATACTTCCTGCCTTAAAGAAAGCATTTCCATGACTTTAGCTGGTGAAAAGGTTTAATATCTGCAGAGCTTTATACAAATGTATTTCAGTGCATACTGGTATAATAGATGACCATGCAGCTGCAGTTGAGTCTTATCAGCTGTTTGTCTTTTCTAATGTCTTCAGTCTGAGTGTGCAGTCAGTTTGTAGTATTTGGCAACCCTATGATTTTTTAAAATAGATGCTGCTTGCTGTGTTCTCCAAACCTTTCTGAGCCATAGGATCCAAGCCATAAAATTCTTTATGCATGTTGAATTCAGTCAGAAAAGAGTAAAAGCTTTGCTTATTTAAATGGCAATTCAAGTGAGATGAGATGAAATCCTATGACACTAAGTAAAAACAGAACCCTGAATAATGATTGGAAATATACCATTTCAATTGTGGCAATAATGAAAGAATTGATAACAGTTCATTTTTGGACAGAAAACTTTTTTTTTTAAATCATTCCCTCTAATCCTATCCCATTATTGCAGCAGCCTACTGAGAACTTTGTAACTGTAACTAGTAAATGAGAAGCTAAAATAACTGCAAAAATTGTATTTAAAGTACAGATCTTTATTCTCTGACAGTTTATGGTATCTGAAAAAAAAAAAAGACCCCCAAAAGCTATGGTGATATATATAGGCTTTATTTCAGACTGTAAATGGCTTGTGCTATTCTGATACTTGTTTTCAAATGTGTTTACTAACTGTAGTGTTGACTGCCTGACCAAATTCCAGCAAAAGTTTTACACCAAAATATTCCTCCTCAGTCCTGTTTGCTAATAACATTTGCACCGTGATTGGCTAGTTATAACCACCCATAGTTAAACCGTTGTCATAATTAGTACTGCCAGCAATAGTGGCAAACACTGCAACTTTTCTGCATAGAAAGCATTAATTGCACATCTACCATCCACACAAATACAGCTTTTCAAACTTAACATTAAGTGAAATTAATTTCTTAGGCTGTGGCAAGTTTATTGAAAAATTGTGTTTCATAAATGGCTATCCCTACTATGACTGTGAAAACATGTCAAGTGCCACTGTAGTGTCACAGACAGAAAGCACACACCTATGCAATATGGCTTACCCTATATTTATTTGTAAAAATCCAAGCATAGTTTAAAATATATGATGTCAATATTACTAGTCTTGAGTTTCTAAGAGGGTTCTTTATGCTTCTTCCAGGTAAGTGTATAAAAGAGATTAAGTGCTTTCCTTTCATCACTTGATTATTTTCTTTAAAATCAGCTATTACAGGATATTTTTTTATTTTATATACATGTTTTTTAATTAAAATATAATCACTGAGAACTGAAGTTTACTAATTTTGATTTTATAAGGTTTGTAGCATTACAGAATAAACTGGGATTTATAAACCAGCTGTGATTAACAATGTAAAGTATTAATTATTGAACTTGAACGAGATTTTTAGGAAAATTGTTATTTCTTTTTCCCCTTTATCTAGTTTGAATCCTTCAAGGATTTTTCCATACTATTTTTTGAGATAGAAGATAATGGGGATGGGGGGGGGGGAGATGCATGTATTATGCTCCATAAATTCAACATTCTTTAAGTAATAAATGATTATAAATAAGATGCATCTTCAATAGTATTGATGTACTGAGCCTTGGATTTTATATTTAATATAGAACCTAACTATTTTGGTTACTCAGTCATACGGTTCCTAGCTTACAAGGGCTAGATATAAGATTATTCCCATTAGAAATGTTGAATTTATGAAGAATGGATTTTGAGACTTTGAAAATGGTTAACTTCTCAAATAAAAACATCAATGTCCAAACATTTACCTTCTTTCATAGGAGTAGACACTAGTAAGCTGCACAAAGCAATCATAAAACTATTTGTCACACCATGACCTGTGATCTTTTGCTGACTGATATAAAACTTTTCTTGTGTGATTCTTAATTTACCAATGCAGCACAAGTATTATCTCTGTGGATTATCTGAAGTAACATCTGAAAGATGGGTTCACCTGTGTTTGCTCTTTATTATTTTTTTCCTATCCCAAGTTGGCTTTGCATCTATCAAGAGTAAATAAATTCTTCAGCTGCCTTATTAGGAGTGCTATGAGGGTAACACCTTTTCTGCTTTTCATCTTGTATTTAGTTTACTGTATTAAGTATTTGATTTCGGATTGAATGAATGTAAATAGAAATTAAATTGAAATTTGAATGAACATAAAATAGAAGTGATTTTTTTTTATTATCCTAAGATAGGAAGAAATAACTATCAGATGCACAAATGGTTTCAATAATTTTTTTCATTAACATGCCAGATGTGTTCAGGTTCTATTTAATAAACTATAGTTGACCCTTGAAAAAAATAGGTTTGAACTGCGTGTGTCCACTTACGTGCAGAATTTTTTTCAGTAAATACATTCGGCCCTCCGTATCTGCAGATGTGATGGGCCAACTGTAGAATCAAGTTATATGCAGATTTTCAAATAATGTCTCACTATATGAGGTGTGATAAAAAAATAGGGTGAATGTTTAAATAAAAAAAAATTATAATAAAAGACACATTGCCATTAATTCCCCACAAAATACTCTCCCTTACTTCAAACACACTTACCCATCGTTCTTGCCCCTTTCTGAAGCAGTTATGGAAGTCCTCTTTTGTGGAGTGTCTTTAGTTGCACTGTTGTGGTTACCTCGATGTCCTGAATCATTTTGACTTTGGGGAAGAGCCAGAAGTAGCACGGTGCCAGATCCAGTGAATAAGGTGGATGAGGACACACTGTAATGTTTTTATTTGACAGAAATTGCTGTATACCAGAAGCGATGTGTGACACGGAGCGTTGTCACACTGGAAGATGATTGATGTTAACACTTTATTTTTTATTTATTTTTTTCCTGCCACCTGTTGGCAGCTCAGTGGCAGCTCAGCTCAGGCCGGGAATTGAACTGGCGACCCTGTTGCTCAGAGCTCGTACTTTTGACTGAGCTCTTAACCAACTGAGCCACTCAGCCAGCCTGATGGAACACTTTAAAACACACCTTTCTCAACCTTAGTTCGCACCCGACTGCACCAAACAAGCTGAAACTTGTCACACATTGTTAACAAGTTTCACGTGCTACTTTCCATATTGAAGATCCCTGCGTTTCCATTGGATGGCACTCGGCAGCAGCATTCACCATAGTTTGTGATCACAACGGAAAGGCTCCATGTCACGGTATACAGCAATTTCTTTCAAAAACATTACAGTGTGTCTTCATTCACTTTAGTCACTAGATCTGGTACTGTGCGACTTCTGGCTCTTCCCCAAAGTCAAAATGATTCAGGACATCGAGGCAGCCACAATAGCACAACTGAAGATACTCCACAAAAGAGGACTTCCAGAACTGCTTCAGAAAGTGGCAAGAATGATGGGATAAGTGTTCAAAGCAAGGGGGAGTGTTTTTAAGGAGATTAATGGCATTGTGTCTTTTTAATAATTTTTTTAAAAAATTTAAACATTCACTATTATTTGATCACACCTCATATCTAGTGTAAGATGGGTAAAGTTTTGTATAGGCCACTTCTTATTTATGAGGCAATTCTATCACACTTGCCAAGATGATTTCTCTATAGAAGTTCTCAAATTGACTTGACTTTTTATAAAACATAGTAGCAACTCTTAGTGATGATAAAACAATCTTTCAGGCATGATATACATTCACAGAATAAATGGGTTTTTGAGTCCTTGTTCCCCTGATTTTGAGGTGAAGGAACAGAAGTAATGTTTCCAGTTCATCAGCATTGTTATTGGATGGCATAGCTCTCCTATTACACTTTCCCCCTTTTAAATTCACATATGAACTGCTTTCTTGTTGGTTAAAAAAAACAAAAGAAAACCCCACTGGTCATCAGGGACTTCCTTTGTTGTTAAAATCATATTAAGAAACAAAGCTAGTCCTTTAGTCATAGGGTAAGTAGATGTGGTAAGTAGGTATTATAATAAAGCTGAAATAACCCATGTAGCAAGATGCTATTCTTGTGTTTTTCACAAGAAGTCAGCCCATCTATCTTTCATACCCAAATTCTAGCCCCAAATTGCCTTTTTCACCTGTCCCTTGCTGTATACCTAAATAACAACTAGCTTCACCACAAAGTCAGGAAGGTGACACAAGGCCAAGTAAGCTTGTTTCAATATTTGCAATGGTTCTTAAAGTAGATAAAAGTTTATATCAGCACTGAATGAACAGAAACAGGTGTACTTATAACCTGGCAATATTTACCTGAGGAAAAAAGTTACAGGCTTTCTAACATTCTCCTGCCAATCTGGAGGCCATACAGGCATGAAAGTGACTTAACCTGTAGCTGGTTGGTCATTCTTACCAATCTATATGCTGGTTTAGCCTTTGTTTTATCAAAACTACAAGTTTTTTTCTACCTTTACCTCCTAAGTTCTTCCCACTATGTCTTCCTTGTGTACAAACTGATAGATGATAATAGAGAAAATGGGCAGAGTTCTTGTACTCTAAAGTTAGATGTAACCAACTCTTTAGACTTCTGTTATAGATCTTGGTTCCCCCTTAGAGGTTTCAAGGGGAGAGAGTGCCTCATTCCCTTTTCCACCACACTGCACAAATACTCAGGCAAATAAACCACACTAAGGCTTTTGGAAATGCCTCTGAGTGCATGTAGGCTTTAATCTCCCAAGTAATGGTGATTCAAAATTTCTGGAGAAGACGAGTTATATGAGGGGAATTCTTTGCTAAGGTTTGAGTTTGTCTTGTTTGTTAACACTATGCAAATTATCAGTGAAGCCATTTGTTATCCATATCAATTATTTTAATAGTTACTTGAAGACAGTCCATGGCACTATATAGAAAGCAAGATCATGAACATTAAAGTTGATGGCAGGATTGTATATATGAGGTCCATAAACAAAATGAATTTATATCATCTATTCTCACTGATTACTAATAACTCAAGAGAATACAATATTAAAATATATCATCCTCAGTAAATTAATCTTCACTTAGAAAATTTGATTGTTATAGGTAAAATATATCATTTAGAACTTTCATTTAAAAATACAAATTTTATGAAAATTTTAAGAATTTTTAGAATGGGAATTACAAAAGTCAATGCTAAAGAAAATTCTACTTTCAGATAATGTGTATTTTAAAACATTATGAAAAATATTCTTCCGTCTGAAAACAATGTCAGGAAAGAATACCTGAGTTCCTCTAAGATCTACTAATTCTAGTTATCCAATTGCTGTTTTGGTAACATTAACAAGAAAACACACAATTTAACACTGCAATCACCTGTCAAATAATTAGGATAGAATAAATGTTTATATGCATCAGGTTGAACATTACTTATTTTTTAAAACATAGGCTTCTTTCATTTAATCTTTAAGTCTTATGACAATATTCTAAAACCATTTGGATACATTTTCCTTAACTTCTAGCCCTGAAAATCCATTCTAATGTCTTTATTAATACTCACTGTAACCAAATAAAATCGGTGTTTTGTGGCCTTAAGAGTTTATACAACTTAATATATTTGAAGGTGTGATGAAGTAGCTCCATCTTTCCATTTGTTTATATGGTCTGAAATCACAGTTCTGCACAGTGGACATGTTTTCTCTCTGTTAAACCATAAGGTAATACACTCTTCACAAAATATATGCTGTAAGGGAATTAAGAACTACATTTTATACTCGATAACATTTTTATTTTAAATTCATCACATTGTAGACAATCATACTCTTCAGAGCTGAAAGGGATTTTGGAGAGCACTAATCCCTTCGTTTTACAAGTGAGAAAACGAGAAAGGATGACATTCAAGAACACAGTGGTGTTAGTGGTAGAGCCTAGTTCTTTTGAATGTACTATCCATTTAATCACTTTTAATCAAGCATAAGCTATCCTTAGGTGATAACTTTAAGATCAAATATAATGACTTATGCTCTGCCATCAAGTATAGGAAAAGGCCTTACACAATCCAGTATCAAATGCTGGTGTTCTAAAAGACTAGTATCCAGTTATTAAAAATAGACTGTTTTCCAATCACATTGGTAACCAATCTGCCATTTGAATTATTTTTCCCTTTCATGCACTCCTCTGCATGAAAACCATTAGAACATAAGGGGCAAGATTTAGCTAATCTACCAAACCCCTAATCTCAAATAAATTACTAGTATGTGTCTTGAATACTACTTTCTGCTCAACACTAGTTTTTTTTCCTTAAAACTAATACGTGACTTTTGCAAATCACAGAAAAGTGTTGTATTTAAGTTGCTAAAAAATATTACCTGACAGATGAGAAGAATTGGCTTTTGAAATTCAGCTTGACATATTGAACAAATATCATCCACATCTGAACACTGTCTCTTGCTGGCAGCCACTCCGTAACTCTGTGAAGATAAGAAGTTTTGTTCATCTACAAATTTCTTTCCTTTTCTTCCAGTATGGTGGTAATGCTATATATACTGTATTTCTCAAATCTCTCTAGAACCAGGCATTTGAAAACTCCCCCAAAAGATACATTTCAAAGCTCACCTACATAGGCAGAACCACGTCTTGATGGACTGAATCAAAGTGAACTCAGTAATACATAATAGGATCTTGAAAGATTTTTAGATTCACTGGATTCCCAAATGACAGTGCTTCAAATTCACTGATTCAACACTGGCTTAAGAGATTAATCTGAACTATAAGTATTATAAAATCTATATTAATGTATTAGGTGACCCTGTATTGCCAAATTGAGCCTGCTTATTTATTATGGCAGTGGTTCAAAAAAGTCAATCCTGGGCCAGCTGAGTGGCTCAGCTGGTTAAGAGCTCAAGAGTGCGAGCTCTGAGCAACAGGGTCACCGGTTCGATTCCTGGCCCGAGCTGAGCTGCCGTTGAGCTGCCAACAGGTGGCAGGATGGCTCAGCTAAAAAAAAAAAAAGTCAATCCAGATCTTGGCTGACTGAATATAACTCATGGAGATATTGCTTTAAAAATAGATTTATGTGCTCCATGCTGGAGATTGATTCAATCGGTCCAAACACACTGGGATGTGACACAGGAATCTGTAGTTTTTGAAAGCTTGGCAGGTGAGTTCAATGTGAAGGTTGGGGGACCACCAAACAGTGTCCTGCCACTAAATCAAAAAATTATTTTAATTACCATCAATTATCAAAAAAGTCAGAGCATTTAGTACAGAAAAAAATGATAAAATTTTATAAAAGAACCAACTGCAGAATGTCACTTAGGTAGAGATACTGTCAAAATCAACTGCTGAACAATACAATTCTTTGAATTTCCTATTTTTCTAAGGTCCTAAAAGTTTCTGATCTCTTCGAGATCTTAATAACTTCCTCACATCAGTAGAATTTAGTCATTTACTAGATGTGACAAAAGATTGCAAATGAGATCAGCTTTCTGTAGAACTGACTGGGAAAAGGTCGCTGAAGAGAAGTGAGAGCATGGTAATGAAAACAAGGCATGACTTGATTCAAGAACCTGAAGCTATGATCTAACTTCTTGTACTAAGTTGTACTAAATATTAAGGGTTAACAAAATTAAACTAAGACTCAAAAAGGATAAAAATTTTAAAAATTAAGATTTTTTTCAAGTTACAGATGGACAATGACCTTGGTGCCAACTCCTTCAGTAAACTCCTTTAGCAGAGTATATTGCAAATACTTGTGCTGACAAGCTTTTAAAATACCACTCTTATCTGGCATTTTGCAGACTCTCTTCAAGTGAAGGTTTATCTTGATGGTGATTGCCATTTCCCTGGCAAAGTTAAGGAACATACATATATTTGTAACATGTCCAGGACATGTATTTATTCCTGAGAGCCTCAGGAATAAATCAAGAATGTTGATGACTAATAGTCTCTCTCTGCCTTACAGAGGAGGAATATCAAACTATTTCAGCACAAATCTTACTAGATTATGGTAAAATGGCTGACACCTAATGAATAAACTTGATCAAAGCTGAACTCTCAATTATATTGTATCTTGTCTAAAAAAAGAAGTCTGAATAGTATGCAGCAAGACTTGTTACTATGTTACTAACTTTATCTTAGGGAAAGGGTGCGTTGGCCAGTTAGTGTGGTCCACTCTGTAGATATAATCCTCTATTCCTCTTTTTTTTTTCAACATACATTATTAGATTGGCATTCTTTTAAATCAGATCCCCTGAGTCCCAACCAAATAATTGTTTAAATACCTACTGGATTGCAAAACTGAGGCTCAAACTCTGAAATCTAGTGACCATATCTAAGTACTGAGGACCTTTGAGGCTACTACCGTATTTTGCCGTGTATAATGTGCATTTTTGGGCCCAAATTTGTGAGGGAACAATAAGGATGCGCTTCTACATGGATAGTACTAATTCCGTATCTATATAAATGTTTTGAATTCTTTTATTTATGCTTGTGAGTTAAAAATGTAACTCTAGAAATCAATAATGATATCTGTATGCAAAATAATACCCTGGAATACGATAACTGGTTTTGTTGAACGACAAACTTGCAGCGACAAAGAGTTCTTGGCCTTCTGTGATGCATTAAGTATCATAAATTTGTTAATGATACATAAAATTTCTTGCACCTTGTGTCTGTTCTTGTGTTCTATAATTATTTGTTACATAAAATTTCTTGTACCATAATGTTAAAAAATGCTAAAATTTCTTTTTATAATATGTAATTCCTTATAATTTATAATACAAAAAACAAGTACCTAAATATAGACAAATAAAAATTTGAATTAAAAAATTAACACTAAAGATTTTTTTCCCTGAAAGTTTCCGCCAAAAATGTGGGTGCGCGTTATACACGGAAAAGTATGGTAAATAGCAAATGAGCCTATGACACCCTTTCTCTGCAATCAGTAGCATAACATGTTTGTAATTGACATTGGAGTCTCAATTTATTGTTAAATTCCATGCTGTGAACTTAATTGTGAATACAGAATTGAGTATTCATGGGGAAATTTTTCCAGTAAGAAAATTTTAAGAGTTATGATTTTGGTAATGAGCTTTTCCATATGTACAGTGAATTATAGTGGAAGTGCTTTCATAGAAGCTGAATAAGGAATTAATGGAACTACACAAAACCACCATTTGTGGATTAAAATAGGAACAACAAAAGTTCATGACAAGATTTTTAAAGGAATGTCTATAAACCCTTAAGACTATCAAGTGATTTTAAGAGGTAAGAGGCACATTAAAATACATAAGCACTGCATTAACTATCAGGTGGCTGTTAATGTGTAGGTCAAGAAACTGATCATAGATAAAACTCCTAAATCATTCTCATAGCCCCAAGTGCCAAAGTAGTAGAAAAATTAAACACAAAACAATGTAATTATGAAATCCACACTAGTAAAACAGCTGAGTTAAATTTCTATAATGAAGAAAGACAGGTTTTTTTCTTAACAGATTAAAAAATACTTACTGGTCGTATAAAAAACATTTGCAAAACCCGTCTGAAAGTTCTTAAATGTCCAAAAAAATCCAAAAGCTAAAAGAGGAAATAAATAAGAGGTAATTCATGAATTCAAAGAGCCCTATCTGCTAACCCCAGAGATCAAAGCTAAAGTCCCATAATATCAAATACTGATATTAACTTAATGCTCATTGCATATCACAGCTAATCATTTCAATCTAAATATATTTAAAAGTCCAATTACGGAATATTTTACTCAATTTATAGATTTCAGTCACTCTTAACCAAAAAAAGTACATATGAATACCCAGAGTTACAATTTGGTCAAGACAAATATAAAGTTAGCTATGTAACAGACAAGGCCATTCTACCTGGTTCACATGTTTTTAACATAATTAGATTTTAAAGTTTCATAAAGTGATTAAGTTAAGGGAAGCAGGCAGAGAGGGAACAGGATAAGATACCCCACTAGTTTCAGAATTATGTGTATGACAGATGCTACTGTTCCAGACAGGTATGTTCTATTCCCCTCTTCCCCTGGTTTAGATAATCCATGCTATGGGGAAGTCCACTCTCCCAATAAAATCTGAAAACCACTGGATTAAGGTAAAGATATATATTTCCATTTCTCCATTTCTAAGTAGATCTAGAACCTAGTATTCAAACTCGTGATACGACGGTAAACTAAAAGTTAAAGAGAAAAGCAGTAGTATATAAAATCTGTAATCATTATGAGTCATGCAATGACAAGATTTATAATGTTACCTACTTTTAGTATGAGGTAGAGTAAGGCCAGCAATATCCCAAGACTCCATCTAGTTACATTACCAAACTCCCCATAGCTTATAAGGTAACGAAACCAAACTGGTATGGGAACAAAAGTTCGATAATACTGACATAATTCTTCTAAAAGCATATACCAGTAACCCTAAAAAGGAAGGAAAAATGTAACAAATTAAGCTACCAAAGCTGCTTATATACATATCACAAACACTTCATATTGGACTGAACGTCATGAGAATATGGCACAATCATAGATAACTATAAAATTCATCCTCATGACTGGTTAAGACACAACCTCAATCTGGTTCTCACAGTGTCACTAAGGTTTGTTTTCAAAGAATTTTTAAAGAATGACAGTGAAAATGTTTTATGTATGCTGCAAGTAAAATTTATGTATGTTTTTGATTACAAAAATTTATATTAGTTTTTATTGAACATGGGAAAAACACTGAATAATAGCATACAGTCAGTTATCAATTATCAATTGATAATGCCCTGAAGGAGAACAGAAGTTCAAATGTAAATAGGATTTTTCCATGTATGATATGGGGACTAATTTTTAGATGAATCTCAAGCAAGTGTTAATTCTGATTTTATTGGAATAGATGAATATTTAGGTTCAAGTCTTTGAGCAAATGGTTGCCAGTCTGAGATAATATAATTAAAATTAGGTTATTTAGCAAACTGAAAAATTATAAATGAAGGAATTATTTAAATGAAGACTAATAGCATTAATGTGGTTTGTTAACATCATTCCAATAAAACATGTTAGTTTCTTACCTTGGATTTAAAAGGCATGATGAAAGAAGGCACCAATAAAATGAGGCATTTTAAGCCCATGAAGAGGAATTTCAGAATGAAGTCTGTAATTCCAACAATCCAAAATACTTCCCAGAAGCTCGAATAGTCCAAAGCAGGATTTAAAAAAATTAAGCTACCAAGAGAAAAACATCAAAACTTAACCAGAGCAACATACAATGATAAACTATTCATAGGGGTTTTTAATTTGCTACTAAATATTTTAATTTGATGTGTAAAATATATGAATTTGGCAAAATGTTAAGCGTTCACAAACAAAATGAAAGGTCATTTTGCTTATTTTCAAGAGACTTTTAAAATGTTTGAGTTTCAAATCTTTCCTCCATAGAATAAAGAACAGTCTTCCTAGCTTGTCATGGTTGATACCCTTCTAGCCTATAATCTAAAAAATTCACTAATTTTAGATATCTGCCATTCTCTCAACCAACCAATCTGAGAGGTATTGGCTCCACGTACAGACTATATCCCAGATTGTCCATCTCTCTCCTACTCTATTGAAACCAAGACTTAAAATTATCTGACTAAAGCCAAAAATTCAAACACTTCCATCTAACATGGAAACTTATCGACTACTGTCCTTTAGCAAGTCTTCTCCTTACATCCAGAAACAAAGATCAAGTGTTCTTACCACACAATGTATACCTATATCAAAACATCATATACAACTTTAAAACACATATTTTTGTCAAAAATAATTAAAAATAAAAAAGATCACCAATAACCTAAAGATACTTAATAACTACTAATTATGTAAGTAAAAATTGAAGTGTCAAAAATTAAATATTTATTGAGCACCTGCTATAAGCCAAGGCACTGGGTATACAAATCTGAATAAGTCACTCAGAGCTTTCAATCTTGGAAGGAGACGGATAGATACAAATTGAACTCTAACAATAAATATATGCAAGTAAGATATATGCATAGTGCTATGTAATACATGATTGCATAACAAATGTGATTGTGTACTTGGACCTCTAATTACCTGTAATAAAGTGACTGAGAATGAAAGGTGTAATATAAAAGAACAGAAGATCCTGCTAAGAATACCAGTAACCAAGCACACTGAATCTTTGAGCACCTTTCCTGAAAAATAAACAATTTTATGATTTGTTACTTTGAATTATGCCAGAATTTTAAATAGCATTAAACTATTTTACTTTAACGACTAGTTTATTAACTTAGAATGTTTTAATAGATTAATCTTATTAAAAATAGAATATCTGTTAAATTGTACATTACCACACTATTTTATATATCTTTAGTGAACAAAACAGAACTTACATTTAAACAAAGTTTAAAATACAAGTTTCTTCATTGTAGAAAAACATTACCTATGTTTCAAAGAAGTAAATCTACAAGCTGACATAAAGGACCCACCCAAATGTAAACTTGACCTCAGCGGTTCCCTATTTTTGCCTGACAAAACAGAATTTTTAAAAATACATTTAAGTTATCAGGATTTATAAGTATACTTTTTAAACTCTCAGACATTCAATAAGAATTTAATAAGGTAATCTGTGTTTTAAAATTAAGTTTTAATTACTAATTTCATTAAAAGTTTTACTAGTTTTAAATTCTGAATTAAATTTTTATGGTTTGATAGGCTCTAACTACAAGTTTCCAGGTCAGAATGCATGCTGCTTTACACAGATACTGTCCTTTAAAGTTGCTTGAAGGTGAAATTTTATAAACTAATTCTACTTTTCCTAATAATTTATATGAATAGGACTCTTATAATTACATTATAAACTTGGGCTTAATTTTCTTTAAAAGAGATCTAAAAAGTTCAATATCCAGTTATTCAATGTACATTTTGTTTAACTTTTAAATCTTACAGTGCAACAGCTAACGTTTTTAATGATTATATTACTTGTTACAGTTAAACTAATAAACATGAAAGCACCTGACAAATCAGATCAAATAGTGCTTCCTAAATCTTGTAATCCTTCTAATTTTTCTATCAGGAACCCAACATACAATGAAAATAAGGTGAAATAATTCAGCATTACGACAGATAATTTATTCCAGGTCATTTAGATAAAACTTAATATTCATGGATGTTACAATATATCTATTTAAATTTGACAAATAAAACTTTTAATTCCTATTTCTCTCAAAAATGACTATATAATCTACAAACATTTAATAATTTTTAGTTGCTTGTTATACTTACTCTTAGAAAAACCTGATTTACAATGCTTTTGTTTGCATACATAAAAGTTGTAAGCAGCCCAATTCCAATAGAAATTCCTGTTAGAAAATAAGTTCCAGTTAATTGAAAGAAAGAAAAAAAAAGAAGCAACACAATGACATGAATTTATTAAAGGAAACACAATCTTAAAAGCTAGCAGAAAGTAACTGAAAATACATAAAATAGGTTACCAGTAAAGAAATAAAATTTACTGAATTTAGCAATGAAACAAATCAGTCTTTTATTATAACCTACCTGTTATATGCTGCATAATAAGTTTGACACCCAGAATCAAAATATATGGAAGGCTTTTTTGCAGCCACTTGAAGAGAGACCGGAATTCTGAGAAGGAGCTATTATTATGATCTCCAGACTCCATGACAGTGTCATCGGGCTGCCTTGCTTCATTATGGGAGTGAATCCGTGAGCGACTATGGACACATCCATGGGTACAGCTATGGACACCTGACCTTATATTTCTGGAGCCTGGATTTTCAGTACATTCTTTAGGTATGGAGTTTATCTGGATATGCACATCTCCAGAATGAAGACAAGAACCTTCTGTCAATCTTGTATGGACACATTGGGAGGCTGAGGCATCTTCACTGCCTGCAGCTCCTGGAGGACTGTGCAGTTGGCTACAGTTGGCTTGCATGACCCTTGAATACTTTTTTGTGATCCAGATTTCTTTGCTTCAGGGCTCTGTCTCCTAAAAATCAAACAGCAGAAAATATTCTAAGTGAACAGTTAAATACAGGCAATGTATTGCTCACTAGCAATCTTTTATTCACTAAAGGAGATGCTGATAATCATAGTAGATGAATTATTTTCAGGTAATCTATCACTTGTTATTAGACTCCTCCCTCTTTACTAAATGCTACAGGTCTGTTGTCCTTCACAAACTATCCTTTAAGGAACATCTGCTACAAAAGAAGTTGAGCTTCAAATGCCTCCAGTTTTCTAATGAGAGAAGGAGTCAGCAAAATAGTCAAAGTATGGGTGCCCAGCAGATGTGAATAATGTGAATACTCATACTCATTCATATTTGAATACTTCAACACATTCACTCTGCCCAACTAGAGCAGTTTCATCTCTGATGTAGATTCTACATTTCATAAGAATCATGTTTTTTAATGCTTGGAAAGGCTAGGAAAATAAATCTTAACGTCTTACTAAGTATCATCATGGAGAACTAATAAACATTTCACTTAGGTGACCTATAAATTTCATTTAATGCTGAAACAGCTTTCCCAAAGCTAATAAAAAGGCTTCCAATAATTAACACGAAGAATACTCCCCCCCCCCCCCCCGCGCGTAAAAGAATATTACCCAAATACCTTTAATAGGAAGACCTGGGGAGTCACCATGTAATAATTGCTAGGTGACTCTGGTCTGAATAAGGAGTTACACAGTCTGCCTAATAAAAATGCTACCAATGGGGGTGGGGTGTGTATGTGTGTTTTGCAGGAAAGAGCACCCTGGCAGGGAAGGATCCCTAAATGACCAGTGTGGGCAGGTGTCGACGTGCCAGAGTTGGACTCCCAGCTCACGAAACGCAGAGCCTTATCCCAGCCTGCCTTTTCTGTAGGAGGAAGCTAGAATTAATGTCAGGGCAAGTTCTGTGTCATTCTATTTCATTCCTAGGTTTGAATTTTTTTTTTTTCAGTTACAGTACGGCGGTTTGGTTTTTCATGCCTTGCACTAAAAGCTTTCACCAATGCTCCGATGCCATGGGTACTACTTGCTTCGTCAAACCTCTGAACACGGAGGTTGGGCGCAACAGTGTCTTTTCTATAAAAACAAAACAGAACATAGAACCCTCCCATTTTCCTTCTTGCACGAGCAAGAAGGGGAAGAAAACAAGGAAGGAAGAAAAGTAAACGAAAACAACACTTCCGGAATCCCCAGGACAGAATTTTCCACCCACGTTCGAGCATCGAGTGCATCAGTTATTCTCCCCAGAGCCCATTCGGCGGCCGCTGCCTGCCCCCCCCCCCCCCCCCCCCCCCC